AAAATAATAATAATAATAAATAAAAACAAGTCATTTTTAAGCAAAAAACAAAACCGACTTCAATTCTCATATAAAAATTTAGGACTACCGTTATTTTTTTCATGATCCAATGATTGGATCTAAACCAGATTAGTATGGGACCACCTCTGAGACACTACCTTTCCGACGCAAAGAGAATTATCGAAATCGGTTGACATGGTCCAAAGCTATGCGAAAACGTACATAAAAAAAAAATATTCCGACGAATTGATAACCTCCTCCTTTTTCGAGGTCGGTTAAAAGAAACTAAATAACAGTAACAATAAAACTTCTATATAAACTAAGATAATATTTTCAATAAAATAAAACAATACATTTGAATAAAAATAACATTTAACAATTTATATAAGAACTGTAAAATTCTTAATTTAAATTTTAATATATTTAAATTAAATTTAATATCAATATAATATATATTTTTACTCTTTAAATTATAATTTGTATATTTTTTAAAATCTTTTTTAGTTAATTTTGAATTTTTTTTAACTATCTATTTTGTAATTAGTTACACAGGCCGAAAAAATAAGACCGATCTCCTTACTCAGAAAACAGACTATACTTTCCCGAAGATTTTCGGTGCGCTGAATTCAAATCTGGCCACAGAATTGCTCTATCACATCAGGATTCTGAGATATTCTAACCTATAAGTGCAAAAAATGCCGTTTTTGCCTATTTTTTAAGCTGTGTATGCTAGCCAGATTAATTTTTCTCAAAAAAATACAAAAAAGGTGTTAAAGTACAAGTCTTTTTCTTTAAAATGGCGTTAAATTTGCTCAAATATCTTTTTGATTCGCTGAGATATTACAATTTTAAATTTACGGATTTTCCGTGAACAAAAAGTGCTGCGGATAGTACACATGGCCGCTATGTTACTTATATGATTTTCAAGATATAGAAAAAAGTCAGCCCTTTCATTAAAACTTATACCAACATGACTTGGAACCCAAGTTACTACAAGACTTTCAATAAATGAATTAAAAACTTGGTTATGAACTTCAGCAACCAAATAATTTAACGTACATTTAACATTTCAAACTTTAATTGCCGCTACGCTGTCTGTAAAAATACAAACTTTTTTTCAAATATATTTTTTAATCAGCAAAACTGTTTGAAATAAGGCAACCAATTCACCCATTATAGAAGAAAGATTTTCAGCTATATTAAGAAGATATGAACAATTATAAACAACATCATATACAGCACAACCAACTATGTTATCACCAGGGAACGGATTTTTAGGACCTAAAAACCTATAAAAAAAGGCAAAATAAAATAGCGAAAAAGGCAGGAAAAGGCACTAGGTATTGCAAAAAAGGCAAAACAAAATAGCGAAAAAGGCAGGAAAAGGCACTAGGTATTGCAAAAAAAGCCAAATAAGGCACTAAAAAAGACAGAAAATACGAAGAACAATCAAAAAATACATTTATTTTTGAAATGTTTATATTACAAGTAAAAAGAGAAAAACTATAAACTAGTTTCATTATATGCAAAATTTGTACTTTGAATCTTTGACTATTTTATCCTTTCGAGTTTCTAACTCATAAAAGTTGTAGTAACATTGAACCACAAGATGCATTTTGAAGTTTTCTGGCAGCATTTTCATCCTATTTTCGTGAAGAAAAGCCTTGAATGTACGAAATGTGCGCTCGACGTAAGTTGATACAAGTGGAGCCCAATTTAAATATGGAACGTTTGAAACGTTCATATTATCAGGTATAAGGGTGTTTTCCTCACCCTTTACAATTTTATCCACACCCCTTATTGTCTCCAAGCCTAAGTTAGCTGAGAAAACGGCTTTGAATTTTTCCAACACCAATTTCGCTCTATAAGCCGCATGGGCATGTGTATATTTTGTGTTCTTTAAAAAAAAATTGTAAATGCTATAATCACTTTTTTAAAGGTATAAAAGGCAAAAAAGGCAAATATTTTAAAAAAGGCAAAATAAAGGCAAATATCTTAAAAAAGGCAAAAAAAAGGCAATATCTTAAAAAAGGCAAAAAAAGGCAACATAAATGTGTATATATGGAATCAGGGAAAGCTAAATCGTGGACATTCTTAATCGAATATACTCTATCTCTTTAGCAGAAAAAAAAGGCGATTTCCATAAAATCGGTTCCCTGGTTTTCACTAACCGAAGCATACGTAGCATTTAAAAAATCTGCATTTTTTCATAACAAATCGATTCCAATTATTCATGAGAAACATTAATTTTAGAGCCATTAAGATCTGAATCCCTTAAAATAAAATTTGTTTTTAATATTTTTATTGAGTTTGTACCACGATTGTTTATTAGGAAAAATTGAAAAAGCAACAAAGTCTAAGCGGTAGAAGTTATAGCACTATTTCGGAGATCACCACATCTGTTTGCCTAAAAAAAGCAACATTAACATTAATTCTACACAATAAATTCCCAAACTTCTCAAAAACATAACTATAACTGGGGTTAATACATTGCCATTAACTAATTTATATCTTAAATAAAATTTTATGAACCACTGCTTAACATGTTTTTTACCAGTTAACCATTCAGCTCTTTTTAAAGGAGGCAACTCACATGCCAAAGCATACCTAGTTAAGGTTGGAGTACTTGGAGGAACACCTAAACAACCCTTTGGTGCATTAGCATAGGTAGTAATTGCTTATTCTAATTTAGATCTAACAAACACTATGAACAAATTTAAATATACCGTAGGAGCTAAACCCGATTTTATAGAAGTTAATTTGACTAAAAGATTTCTACCCATAACAACCAAGAATGATAGAATACAAGATTGCGCCGATCAGAGAGGATTTTTGAGAATAACTTTTGTGTGACGTCACACTGGTGCAATTGCGAGAGAGAAATGCCAAAACGTGAGCAAGAATGGAAGAAGAAGAAAAAATGTTGCAAGGAAAACGTAAACAAGTTGCACCAGTGTGACGTCATGCAAACAACGATTCTGTCAAATTCGTTAAGAGAGGAATAGCGGTCCGAGATCGGCGCAACCTTTGTATTCTCTCAATCGTGCATAACAACCACATTTTTAACTCTCAATTTGACCACCAATAGTACAATTAGCTTTTATTGATCTACCAAGCCAAATAATTTTATCCACTTGCTCAATATTAGAATCATTTAAATGCTAAATTTATTCCTGCAACTGGTTGTCATATTACACAAACTTTGTTTTATTTGAGTTAAAACTTAAATTAAGCGAGCTGCACAAAATCTGCATATCAGAGATCTTTGAAGCCAAATTTAAAATAGCATCATTTCCATTTAAAACATATGACACAATAGCCAAATCATCAGCAAATTGAAATAACGAAGTATTGTATTCATTAATGTTATGAAGTTTTGCAGTATACAAATTAAACAAAATCGGAGAGACAACTTCCTTGCGGAATACCATTATTAATCTCTACCATATGACCTCCAAGAGTTAACTTCCTCAAAGAAAAAAATATATATGTATATATACCCAATTACCAATTCTTGAGTCAATACCCAAACGTTTTAAAATCTGTTGAAGAATATTTAAATCAACACAATAAAATGCATCAGATATATCTAAAAAAAAAAACAAAAAAATACCTTTTTCTTATAATGTTTCTTTTCCTCTATTAAATGTAAAATTTCATTAATACACATTGTAGCTGATCTCTGCTTTCTATCATAGTGAAATAATATAAAGTGTACCAGGTAACTGGCGTCTTCATATTTGAAAGCAATCTTTGATTTTGTTATTATTTTTTCTTTTCTTTTTGGTGTTCGCTTTTTTCCAAATCTGGCGTTAACCCTTGGTTTTGTTGCATACCACTGTCCAATTTCGGCTTAAATCCTCAACCTTCCGGACTAAAAACATCAATACTATTACGCTATGTGTGCTTTTGCACAAACGGCAAGAATTTCTTGGCATTTTTTCTTTAGTTTTTTATTAAATCATAAAAATACTTATACTACGTTTATAAGCACGTATTATTTGCAAATGACAATTTGCAAACGGGTAAAATTTGCCGTATAAATGCTGAGTTAATTTTCTATTTGCAAATAAGTGCAAGAAGCCGCCATTCTTAGGCTTGTTTTCTTTTTCGATGGTCATCTTATTGCCTTTTTATAATCAAGACGTTGCCATTTTTAAACATCATGGTTTCCACACTACACCTTTTCTAATCTCGTTACATATTTGGGCAATTTCAGATTGAAAGTTTTATAAAGGAATTTGTTCTTATTCACTAAAATTTACGAAATACGATTTCTGATCAAAATTTAATAAGAATTTTACCCTGCTCCCACATAAGGTTTGTTCGTCGAAAATCCAGCAAGAATTATCCAACACTCAAAATATCAGAGAGTAAGAAAAAATTCTCTGTCATGTTGAGAAACTTGCAAATTTCTGCACACACGCAAATTTGCAGGAATTTGCAAGTTCCATTGCCAGCTGGTGTCCACGGTTGCATTTCAAACATAATAAATTTTTTTACAATTTTTAAAATTCTTTCAGATGGACAAAGAAAAGGATATACATGTATATTTCTTGTCGTTCTGACTTTCTTTAACATACATTTCAATTTCTTTATCGTACTAGCTGTCAGGTTTCTTAAATCGACTCTGGTTGCAATTGCATTCCGATTGCGAATACAAGTATTTTAGTGCATTCCAGAACGTCTACGATTTGCAGGTTTTGCTGGATTTAGTCCAAAGTCGTTCCCGTATGCCACGTTCCCATAAGGTTTATTAAAGGCGAAAACAGCTGTTCCTGTAAAACCTGCAAATCCTGAAGTACGGGAACAGGCTAATTTAATTCCTTTTTTCAAAAAAAAAAAAAAAAATCGCTTGTGTTTAAAAATTTTTAAATTTAACGAACTTATTTATTCAAATTATCGTAGACAAAAAATGCAACCATGTGCCACAATTCTTTTCAAGCACCCTTGAATTTTTTTATTTAAAAGTTATGTTCACCGGTGCAATTAGTTATTTATTTAACCGTTTTTAATATTTTTATTCGTTAAATTTATTAATCTTCATTGGCCGGACAGTTGGTTACCAATGCCTTGAAATTGCACACATATCGATCGCGATCGTACCACATGCCAATTTCGCAGAAGAGCTGCAAGGCTTGTCCTTCCACGCATTGCCAGAAAACTCGGCAATGTTGGCTGTCCCCAAAACGAGCGCCATTCGGAGCTGTACTGCAATCAATTCCCGCCCCGCCATCGCCACCACCATTGTCGCAATTACACGGCGGGCACTTTCCATTCTGACAATTCTGTAAAGTAGTATTGAAGCGCTGGCCAGGTGGGCAGTACTGTTGTATGACCATTTCACCATGACATAGGAGGTATCCAACACAATCATTTAAATCGGGAACCTTGTAGCCATAGGGCTTGCTAATACATGCACGCATTGAAGAATTATCGGGGGTATCTAGACTTGTTAGACCATCAGGTATGATTGCACTGCACCAACAAGTTACCGCCAACAAAGTGACGACATATTGTAGGACAACTGAAAGAAATTTTTATCTAAAACCATGGCAATTCAATTATGGAATTGTTCTCAATTTACTTGACATTGCAAAAATTTTTTGCAGTTACACTCTTACAACCTTTTAGAACTAATATCGTACACAGTTTGAAGTACGAGTTTTTATAGTACCTAGTATCTCCGATACATATAAACTGCTCAAACTAACTGGAAATCATACACAATCGGGTCTAAATACATATTTACCTTGTGGCTGATGCGACATTTTATCTATTCAACAGTAATTAGCTTTGTTAAGTAATGCATATTGATGTATATACATATGTACACCTACTACATATGTGCAGCAAGAATGATGTTCATTACACCATGTATGTGCAGCCCTTGAGCTCGCGAGTGAAAACAGATTTTGTGCTTTCACATGTACACATGGAGCTTATTTCTTTTTTTTTTTTTGCACATGCATGAGTGAACCCAGTCGACAAAATGAATAGCGTTTCTTTCCTTCAGGACGTTCATAAATGCAATAGACACATCAGCATGTGCCGACTGCAAAGTTAAATTCAAACTTGCAAGTTTTAGGAACATTTAAAATTTTTATTAGTGAAATTTTTATCTTTTCAGACCAATATGCAGCTCTGAAGAAAAGCAAATAGTCCATATAAAATGATGTACAAAAAATGGCTAAGGAATTTTCTTGTGTAAAATTTGATTGAGGCAGTACGCAGTTCTTGAGAAATTTGCCACGCTTTCTACTACGGTTTTCGAACGTTTTTTTTTTTTTGTGAAAAAGTGCACACGAAAAATTTGAAAAAATGTTTGTTCTGTATTCGCTGGCGACAACAAGACAAAATGGGTGAGAATCGTTGGCCTACAGAAATTCAATGTAGGCTAAAGAGACGAAACTCCCTTAAATGTCGAAAATGTATATTTGTTGACAATCGTAGATACCTATTTATTCTGTCAAGTCGCTGCAAAATAAAGCGCGCAATGTTTATGGTAAAGCCTGATATGCAGTTCAACGATTTTTCAACAAAATTTTTGACATTTTAATCAGATTTAAAAAATAAACGAAAGTGGTAAATAAGCTCACTTTGAAATGGGGTGCAATTGATATGACCGATACTGTACATACGTAAATAAAGCTATAACTGAGCACCCGAAATGTGTAGTTATGCAGTGATTTTTTTTAAATTTCCAATATTTTTAACCGACTTCACAAAACACTGGTGCGAAATAAAGTCAATTGATCCGATGAATCCGATGAGGTGGCTCTTGGAGCATTCGAGAGAAAGATTTTGCGGCAGGTTTACGGGCCTTTACACGTTGGCGACGGCGAGTACCGCAGACGATGGAACGATGAGCTGTATGAGCATTACAACGACATGGACATCGTACAGCGAATTAAAATAAATCGGCTCCACTGGCTTGACCATGTCATTCGAATGGACACCGAAGCTCCAGCTCTGAAAGTATTCAACTCGGAACCCGCTGGTGGTAGCAGAGGAAGAGGCACAGAAGAGAAACGACTGGCGTGCTTTGTTGAACTTGGCTAAACTCGATTTGGCGGTTACAGCGCCAAATAAGAAGAAGAAGAAGAAGAAGAAGAGAATAGATCTATAATTTTATCAGTCACACAGTGTTATACTCCCGACGAAATCCTTGACGGTGGTACCGGGAGGGGAACGGTACATGACGGTAGGAAGGTTAGTTTGGGTTAAAGTCTCACAGTGACCGGGTTAGGCTTCCGATGCTTCCTCCTCGTAAAATAAACATGCGCAGTAAAAAGTTTACTATTCAAATAGACGAATAGTTATATGTATATCAACTTTTGTGAACTTCTGGTTATGTGTTTTTGTACAACAGGGTAAAAGTAGAAAGTGCTTACTCTCAGTGCAGAGCTGTTACGTCAGGTGTTCCGCAAGGATCTATCCTAGGTCCACTCTCGTTTAGTCTTTTCGTTAACGATGTGTTCTCTGTATGCCAATATGTGAATGTCCATGCGTACGCGGACGATGTCCAACTATACTTGTCAAGTCGTATTGGTCTAATTGAAGACATGTGCTTCAAAATTAATTCTGATCTGTCCGCCATTTCTGTATGGGCACGTGATAACTGCTTACTCTTAAATGCCTCTAAATCGTATGTTTTACCGATAAGTAGTAATGCTGTGTATGTCGAGGATATTCCGAAGCTTTGGATTGGTACCACCGCTCTTTTGTTAACTGACAAAATTAAAAATCTGGGCTTTGTTGTTAATTCCAGATTAAACGCTACCGACCACATTAATAAAGTGGTAAGCGGCGTTTTTGCTACCTTACGTAGTTTGAAAATGTCTGCATCATTTACCCCTTTGGAAACGAGACGCAAGCTAGCCATTCAGCTTATCGTACCCCAGATAACGCATTCCGAACTAGTATATAGTAAACTTGACTCAGCGTCTGCACATAAAATCGAGGTGGCCTTTAATAACGTCACACGCTACGCCTATGGTATTGGAAAGTACGATCACATCACTCCATGGAGAAATAAAATTCTGGGTTGCGATATCTTCGACTATCTAGAGGCGAGAAACTGAATGTTTGTATTCAAGTTGCTGGAGTGGAATACACCTAAATACCTTTGTGACATACTGATACGACCAGTGTCACGAAGACATCATAGCCTTATTGTTCCTAAGTACACCTATCTAACCTCATCAAGGATGTTTTTCGTTAACGCTGTGAGACTCTGGAACACGCTACCTGATTCGCTAAAGATGGAACTGAATAGAGGCAACTACAAAACAGCAATTCCTCGTTACTTCTGTGAGATGGACTAATATTCTCTGAATTCTTTTGTTTTTCCTCCTCCCATGCTTTCAATCTATTAATCTTTATCCCAACTATTCTTATCCTCTTATTAAAGATTAAGAATGTTCAGTATTGTTATAACCTCAGGCTGAACTGTATTACTTAATATACAAAATTATTCATAAATTCAACAAATCATGTTACATATTTTAACTTCCAATTGTATTCGATTCATATCCATGCATGTATGTATGTAGTTGATGTACTTTTAAAAGACTGTTCTTGTCTTAAGTTGTACAAATGCTTTCATAAATAAATATCACAAATATCACAAATATTGCCTTCTATTGGTTACAATAATTTTAAGCTATAATAAACAATTTTTTAGTAAGTGAGTTATTGGTTTTCAAAAAAAAAAAATTTTGTATAGGTCTCGCCTACATTTCGTTCTTGCTACGCCCATGGTTACAGTGCTAGCCGCTAGGGCAATTGGCTGACATATTAATATATTTCAGTAATTTGCCAGAATAAATTTTTATTTGGAAACAGCAATACTTAATGAAATATGAAAAGAACCACAGATCAAAAATGGGCACATATTTTTTATAATCCTGAGAATTAATTACAAATCTAATTTCTACTCTATTTCTGCATCTTCGACATGCACGTAAAGAGTTTTTTCTATTATAAATGTGGAATGGCAAGATGAGAGAAACAAAGCCGCTACCTCACTAACAAAAAATAAACTTTTGATGCATATAAATTTAAATTTTTATTGCGATAAAGTATATGATACTTTGACAGTTATCAAGGAACTGTTAAAAACTGCCAAAAGTGCAAAGAAGTGTATTTTTTATAAAAGAAATGATTTTGAAATAAAATACCGTATATATATGAGACCATGAGAGCAGAAATGGCCTAACCCACATTTTTTTCTTGTACCTAACTTCTTAAAACGGTTTCAAATGTGATAAATTTCAAAGTAAAGGTTGATTATTCCGTAATTTGATATGCAGCTCTGTACCTTAGAATTAAAGAATAAGCGACTTTCGTTGTAAATCTTATCTCATTTGAGACTATTTTAAGTAGGGAAGTACACAAAAAAATTTTTTGGTTAGGCCACTTCTGCTGCCACGGCCTTATATATATTTGAAGGGTACTATATTTTCTCAAATTTTTTTTTACAAGTACAATAAATATCTTAGAAAATGTTGGCAACCATACATACATACATCCTATGTTTGTATGTACTATGGGCTAGGTTATGAAAAATGTTTGCGGTTAATTAGTGACCAAAACTATACCGAAAAATACTTATGTCGATACAAAATGTCGATGCCAATTTAAATATACATACAGATAACTCTATCAAATCGCGCAGGTTTTCGATATGTTATGAATTTTAAAATTTCAATAACTGAAAAGAAAAAAATTCAGGAAGGTGTATACACTAAATACATATTATGCAGTTGATTTGCGAAAATTAAAGTTTAAATCTCGTACGCAGATGGCAACCGTACGCAATTTACAGCTCTTTGACACAATATCGAAATGATAATAGAATGGGCACTTTTGCAGCATAGCATGCCCCTTAACACAGTAAATAAAGTATTCACAGTTTACCATATGCGGAAATACATGTTGCCCATAGATTGGGCAATTAATTAATTCGCTATTCACGGTTTGTCCGCCGATTTGATTGCCATTAGGCGCAAAACTATCAGCACCGTTGCCATTAACTCCACTCCCATTTGCCAGCCCAATCGTACTGATACCGGTGCTTCCAGTCCATAACGGACAGCCAGCATTTTCAGGCAGATCACACTTGGCGGTATTCGCATTCCAGTGTAAATTGGCGCTACAATCCTGCAACACTGCCTGTCCATAGTAGCAAATGTAGTACTGCTGGCAACTGCTACTGCTGCCTAAAAAAATGATACGGTTTTGCTCAGCCGGTTGTGAGGCACAGTATCGGGAAGCGTTCAGCTCTTCATTGTCACCGTTACTTTCGGCATTGTTCTCAGCGTTTCCATTATTATTGTTGTCATTTGCGTTACTGTCGTTGTCACTGCTGGGTATTCCGATATCACAGCTGACATTATCGGCTGTGTCGCAGAGCTTGCTGGCCGAATTGAAGAGCATTGTAGGCGGGCAAGGTGCCATTACCGCTTGTCCATTATCCAGACACAAGTAAAATGAACGGCAATCATCGGGATTTCTATCGAATTCGCCGGAGGTGTGGTTCAAACAAATGCCATTTTGACGTTTAAACCCATTGCGGTAGAGTAAATGTGATGAGGAGGTGTATGGGTATTGCGTTATTGTAGCCAAGACCAAGTAAATGTATGCAACTAAAAAAGTTTACCTATATATGTGGCTATTAAAAATATTACAATTATTCTAGTCCTTACCTTCGCTGGATTCACCCCTCATTTTATTATCATCTCTCATTGGTTTATGGTATTTTTGCTGGCTAGAATCACGTCCTTTTCGAAAGACGTATTAACATATTCTAACTTCATTTTGAAATTGTTCAGCGAAATCTAAAAATTGGTTGCCCTTTTAATTCAACATACATACATACATACATATGTATGATATACATTGTATATATGTACATACATATTTGCATGCACATGTTTTTAAATGGTTACAAATGAGTTTCAAAATGTGATACATTCATATGCCTGGAATAAATATCCAACCAAATTTTGCTTTCATTAGGTACTAAAAGATAATATCTTCATGAATATCGCAAAAGGTGAAAAGCTAATTAAAACATTTTAATTTCCGCCATAGGCTCAAAATTGAGCTTGTATGTATTTACATACGCACAAACATATCTGTGTTCGTATGGAATAGTAGCTTATGTATGTCGAGATGCTGGCTTTAGTATAATGCGGCATTCCCTTTATCCTTTAACCGACAAGAAATTTTTTGATAAATGTAAATAAAATGTTGAAACCCCTTTTTTGAGGGCACCAATAATCTCTTAAACACACTATGCTGGGGAACTGAAACTTGGCACGGATGCATAAATTGAAAATACCCTACTTATGACGAAAACCAGGAGCTATTAGAAAAGGGGGTGTGGCACATCCCATACAAACTGAATTTCTCATATCGCTTATCTTTGGAATCGCTTAAGCTAACGTCCTGAAATTTAACATGGCTGCATATGTTATCAGTAGCATACTTATAGCGAAAAATGGCAAATATTGGAAAAGGGAGCGTGGCTCCTCCAACACAAACTTACCTTCTCATATCGCTTATCTTTGGAACCGCTTAGGCCAACGTGCTGAAATTTGATACAGCTATATACCGTCGTTTAAAGTATAAAGCCGCGTATCGTCGTCATTCTGCAAACCGGCGTAACTGACATTTGCTGCCAGTCAATCCTTATCCATTCGTCCTGAAATATACTAGTCAGAAATGCGATTGATTTCTAAAAAAATAACCATTTTTTACTCTCTACAAAATAATTTATGCAACCTCGCATATGCGGTTTTGCATTATCTTGACACGCGGTTTTTGCATTTTGTTGATACGCGGTTTTGTACTTTAAATGGCGATATGTTATTCATACTGTGCTCTTGGCGGAAACTAGAAGGTATTGGAAAAGGGGGAGTGGCACATTCCATACAAACTGAATTTCTCATATCGCTTATTTTCCAGAAAATTGATCCAATGGATCGCGCTGCTGCCGAAATATTTATATGGAAACTCCATATGTTTACTTTTCAGATCGCTAAATGAAATTATGTAAGCGCACCTTGGTTTGACGCCCTCATACACCCTTAATGCGATCTTGCATTTACCTCCGATTCAGAAAATTTCTCAGCAGTAAGATTCAAAGAAACCAGTTCATAAATATTAAGACGAATTTTAAAAGTGGCGAATCGACAATGAAAGATTCAACCACATCCGTCCAAGAAGGAACATGGTAGGTATATCAATGGCTTTATTTGAATGAAATTCAAGAAATCACGCAACTAATTTAGCCAATATACGGGAAAACTTTTCATACTGTGGGACATCGAGGATTCTTGGCCCTCCTGTAACTGAAAACGCGTATCTGTGCTCTTGAGTTTCCTTATAAGCACTTTTATTGGCTTACGCACCGGACCAATGTTGTAGTTGCAAGATCATAGACGATTTTGCACGCTTGGCAGTGATTTCACAGTTGGAAATAAGAACATCGGTAAAGCTCATGACATCGATAGCGATAAGTATTCCATATGGCATCACAGCGCTACTATTCCTGGTCCATGTGTGAGGAGGATTCTGCTCTTCATTCGTTTCAACTTGTTTCCCTTACAGGCCGTTTTTGCCTTTAAACGCTCTTTTTGCTCACGCAAAAGCTCTTATTATGCGCCGCAAAGTAAGCGGGAATTGGGTAGTACATTATAAAAAGACACCCACCTACCAAATTTCATTCCGATATCTCGAAAACTGAGAGACTAGATTGCATACAAACAGACGGACAGACATACAGACGGACATGGCTAAAGGGACTCAGCTCGACGTTCTGATCATTTAAGTATATAAATATTTTAATGGGTCTGTCTCTTCTTATTATGGTACTTACAAACATCGGACCAAAGTTATAATACCACCTCATGCTCATGAAAGGTATACAAATTATAACGACAAGTATGTGCAGTAGTTATGGTAGTGATAACGATAAATATTTTTATAGTCGATAAATATGTATATCGATAACAATAATTACAATGTATATTGACATGTACATCCAGTAGTAAGCATTGATATCGATAAGTTTTTTGATCGTGATATTGATATGCTCATCGCTAAATATACTAAAAATGATGATTCCTATATTTTCGAAATGAAGCTCGCATATTTATTTTGTAGATTTTAAAATAATGTACAAAAATGGCTTGTCTCACAACTTTCTTTTATTTCTTCTATTGTAGCAAATAGCTTGTAGCATCGCGGTACAGGCTCGTTTTTCGATATCCCAGCCATAGCCAAAAGGGCATTGCTGCAAGAGAAGGTACCCGTTACGACAATAATAAAAATAATTACAATTCGTTGTATGCGGATACAAATCGATGGTGTGCAACTGGCATTGTTCTCTCGGATTGCTGAAATCGGTCTGGAAGAATATACAAAATAATTAAAAAATTATTTCTTTCGCCTTATTAGCTGAATTAGTTATATTGGTATGTCAGTTAGTATTTACCCGACACCCAACGATTTCCGGATAATCACATTTTCCAGTATTCACATTAAAGTGTAGCATCGAGGAACAATGCATGGCCAATCTCTCCCCATGGTAGCAAATAAAATAATCCGAGCAAGATTTTGAGTGCGGCACGAAAATCATCTGACGGGGATTATCCAAGGCCGGACATTTGTTTGATATAATTATGGCCGTATCGCCATTTGTAATCGATGCGAGCGTTGTGGCTGCAACCGCACCTATTGCAGGACTCATAGTACTCGTATTCCCATTACCCGGGTAGCTAGTGGCCATCGCTGGTGTGGTTGACAGAAAAATTTCGCCTGCGGTTGTATTGATTGAACTTATTATAGAATTATTGATGGTGGCAGGCGATGGGGAGCTGATAATAGTGGTCGTCGTCAGTGCGGGTGCTGGCGTATCAACCGATGGATTACTAGCTGTAGTGTTGAGTTTGCAATCGACGAGCTCGCTGGGATCACATGTCTGTAGCAACTCATTGAAGTAATCGCCATCTGGGCATTCGCCTTCATAGGAATCGATGCCTGCACAGTAGATATAATGACTGCACGATGTATTGCTGACAATGAAGGCATTGCTGGGCTTATTATTGCATTCCTCGCGAATATCGCCATGCACAGGTATGATAAGTGAAAATATCAAAAGTGCGCAAGTCTCATAAAGCCATTTAATATGCATCTCTTAGCTAATTAGTTCAGGGCTGTGCCTACAATTGCGTTGGTGGGTTTGGAGCAACTAAATTTTTTTGGGTGCCAGCATTTTCATTGAAGTATGCCAAATTATTGAAATTTGATAAGCGATTGTATGGTTTACAGACGCACGCACATAATACAGATGCACATGCATACATACATACATATACTCGTATGCTGCGCTGGAATTAAATGAAGTGATGATTTCCAAGAACTCCATCGAAGTAAGAACCGCTGATATTGCATTATCACCTCTGCATATTTATGTACAAAGATATCAAAAAAAAAAACATGTACATATCTATCAAATGTGTCATAAATGTTGTAATACATTATGACACATGATATATGTACTAGATTTCCCTAAATGTGTACTACTGATTTTCGAGTATGATTAATCGAACGCCAGCAGTCTTTTGAGATGACAAAAGAAACTTTCCTCGACCTCACTTCTTGGCAGCCTTACGATTTCAAAAACTCATTAAGATTGATGTCCGTAACACCTTTCCTTGAAATAAAAATATGTACAAAAAATTAATTGAGCTATCATTCAGCTTATTGACTTTGGAGGGAATTTTACAATCAGGTTGCTTATTTGCACCGCAGTATTTACACTCAATTGTGTACTTATAGAAAAATGTTACACTTAATTATAGTAGATAGATAAAACAGTATGTACTAGGGATGTTTCGAATGTCATATTTTTCACATTCGCGAATGCGAATGTTACGAATAACATTAAAAAAGCTATAATCAACTTAAGTCATCGTTATAATAACTTAAAAATTTTGTAAATTATTAGAACATTGAACGAGTGCATAATCTATACAGTGTTTTAATCTGGTAGTCAAAGTTTAAAAGGGGCATATTATATTTTAAAAAGTGTAATTTTGCTGCCTTTTCTTCCATGAGGCAATTTCTTAGAGGCTCGTATATAACGCCGACTGCACTGAACAATTGTTCACTTGGAACGCTGGCGGGTGGAGCGCTCAAATATTTGCGGGCCAGATCTGTCAATTTGTCGCATTTTAGTTTAGTTTTCCACCAATGGAGAGGATTTTCACCGAGATGAGCTGGTTTTTTTTTTAAGATAGGCCTTCAATCCAGCTTTAATTTTAAATTTTTTAATGTCTCCAGATTCCAAATCCGAGCCTTCGCTTTCGCTGAAGGAATCTAATATTATTTCTAGGCTGCTTATAAGACTTTTAGCAGTACTTGTTGAAGATCCTCCAATGTTGCTTGTTATACTACTTAACCGTTTAGTGCCTGAAGTTAAAAGCCGATTATTGTTCGCGCCCTGGTTAGACAGACTTAGAGCCATTCCAACAATAGTAGAGTGGACTCTCTGCCCTTGTGAGCCATTCTTTAAGTCGGACCGATTTCGTAAAAAAAAATTATATCATATCTCCGATTCGCTTCAAATTTGTTTAATGGGTTCTATACAATCGAAAGCATAAAGCCTATAGAATGTGTTCAACAGATTAGTGAAAATTACTAATATTACTTACCTGTTCATACCTGCCAACCCGATATGTAGGCCGGGAAAAAAACAGACAGCCCAACATTTTCACATTCTATAGGCATACTTTCGGTTGGTATATAATTTGTTCATTAAACAAATGAGTAGAAAATTAACAAAATAAAAATTATTGAATATTTAATTAAAATATCCTGGCCAGAATTTTTTCAGCCAACCCACTCGCGAAATATTTATTGACACGTTCTTAGACTAATAGGTTTTGGATTGGAATTGCAAAAGATTCTACAAATTTAAGCAACTTTTTCGCAATATATGTATATCTTTGGTCGTCATTTATTTACATAAATATTTGTACAAAGTATGTCATACTTATATTTGTGGTTGTTGTTGTTATCCGACTTTGTACAATATATATAAATGTGTATGAAAAAAAGTTCTGATAACTGTTCCATTCACGCTTGTACTCTACTTATTTATGTACGTTCGCTTGGATCCTTCAAAACATTTCGCCTGTTTAATTAGTACGCATGCGCGACGTTCAATGTCCCAGCCATAGTAAAATGGGCACTGCTGCAGAGTAAGAAAGCCCCTGATGCAGTAATAGAAATAGTTACAATTCTGCGAATGCGGAAAAAAGTCAGTGACATGTGGTAAGCATTTATTCGCATTTGGTCGGTCGAGCTGTATGAATGGAAGGGATTGAAAATTATTATTATTATTGAAAATAAAATGGTAGCGTAAATTCATTTTGCAGTCAAATACTTAGTACTTTACTGCCACCTTCAATGCAAAGCGCCCTACATGGCAAATTTGAAATTCTACAAGAAAGGGAAGCAACTTTTTAAATTTGCACATCTCTGCTTTTGCAGAATTGTTCTAAGCGTGCTAATAAGTCTCGCGTTTTTTTTTTTAAGATTTAATTTTTTTAATTTTGGTGTAACGATGCATCCGAGACAACTAACGGAATATGTATATGTGTATATAAAATGCCTCATTTCCGAAAAAAGTGTCAAACATGGCCCTTTGCATTAATGATGACTATATACACATACATATGTAACTATAGTAATCTGTAATAAATTTTGTAGTTCTCGTGGAATAATATAAAGTAAGTAAGTTTATAAGGGATGTGCTATTAATCGATTAAATAATTTTTAATTAATCTTAATCCTGATTAATCAAAAAACGTTATTACTCGGACTCTGATTAATCAGATCCTGAGTAAATCTGAGTAACTTCCTTCATATATCCCGAGTTTGCTTTCAAAGCCAATAATTTTTTATATTCCTAAAAAAAAATGAAGCAAAGCCCACGGGCGTTATTGCCTTTTCGAAAAATAAATTAAGCTCGCGGGCTTTATTGCCTTTTGCCGGTGGGCATTATTTCCCTTTCGCTATGGCAATAACGCCCGCGGGCTTCATTTCCTAAAAAATCAAACAAAAAAAAGTGGGCGTTATTTCGTCCTTATTCTGGCTCTTGTCTCCATTTTAGAATATGTACATCCGAAACCCCTGTTCTAAATAAAAACTAATACATATGATAACATTGAACTAAATAACTAGAAGAAATTGAATTTAACAAATTTCAATGCATAAATTTAATACATGCATATGTATGTATGTACACTTAGGTGCACAATTGAGTCAATAATAATTGAGGAGGTGAAAAGGGTTGCCGATGATTTCATTAGGGAGAGGATTAGGCTCCTTGCAGTCAAAAAGCGGGGAAGTTCGGAGAGGTAACCGTTAAAAGTTGTCCTTGACGACGCCTCATTGAGCGATGACGGTTTACTTCCTCATCTGACTCGACATGGCTTTTTTACTTTCTTTCCCTTACTTCTAATTTATAGGGCTAACGAAACTTTGTACCGCAAAGGTGAGAGCGCCACCGAATTAGTGCTTTATTCCATGACTATTCGTATTCGTACTAGCACCAATGAAAGCTTTGAGGCATCTAATGTCGTTCAACTATCGGAACGCGGGTAGGTCTGGTGGTAAACGAAGAATGCCAAACTAATGATCTCCTTTCATCAAAGGAGACACTGTTGATAGCTATAACTTTGAAGTAGGATGGACCTTCGACTACTTGGAGTTAAAGAGTCTTCTTTGACCACCTGTTATGTTGAACTGCTTAAGTATTTAAGTACTTAGTAAGACTCTGTCGTGATTAAAGAAAATCACACTGTTCCCCTCTATCCGTATAGCGTAGAGGTGTGGATCCTCGCAACATATGTTGAGGCGTACCTCGGATTCTTCTTCTTATTTGGCGCTGTAACTGCCTAACCGACTTTGGCCGAGTTCAACAAAGCACGCCAGTCGTTTCTGTGGCAAAGGACGCTAGTTGAAAATGCCAAGTAAAACTTAGTCCTTCTCCACTTGGTACTGCCGTCGCAGTAGGGCTCTCCCTCTTCCGTTGCCACCAGCGGGTTCCGAGTATAATACTTCCAGAACTGGAGCATCGGTGTTCATTCAAAAGACATGGCCAAGCTAGCGGAGCCAACCTTGGATTGCCAAAGACTTATGCCTCTTATCCCTTTGTGGCGAAGATTACCGGAGACGATGGAACAATGGGCTTTACAACAATAAATTTGAATTTCATGATACGAATTTTGTCTTTTGGAATTGCTTGCCAACTGCATGCTAAGCATTTATCCACACGGCTGAGACCTGTTGCTATCGTTGCTTGGCATCGTTACGCGGTCCTTTGTTACCCTAACAACTAAAAGAACTATGTATTTATGGAAGATAAACATTCGAGAGCAAAATATACATATGTAAATATATACAGAAGTAAAAGTTGATTAGGTTTTTTAGTTGAGAAAAATTTTAAAATATTTAACTACCCCTCAAGCCATTATGACGGACCAGAATGAGTTGGATCAATTGGCTTCAGCCGAATTGGAAAGACTGCAACGACAAGTAGATCAAAAAACCTTATTTTTTATTGAAAACTTTGTACTATTCCTCAATTTTCCAGCATCGCTCCCTGCAGTTGGAGCTACGCTCCTTACTTGAAGAAAAAGCTAGGCAGCTGAAAAAACAAAATCACATGATAACGGTTTTGCAACAAGAACATCAAAAGCTGAAAGACGAGATTGCTATACTAGAGGGTGGAACGCATGCTAGAAAGAATACAAATGTAAGGCGTTCTTGGCATAAGCTACTCCTATATCTGAACACGTCTTCCGTTATCTTGACGTTGGTTTGTTGTTTTTTTTTTCAGAAAGAAAAGCGCTTGAGTTTTTTGCAAAGACAGAATCAGGAGCTGCAGCAAATTTTACAAGGTGAACGTGTCAAAATATGGGAGCTGGAAGGTCACATTAAAAAGGTCAGCCTTGGGACAAGCTAAAAGCTCTTTCGAATAATAAGAAACTTAAAAAATTTAAACACTTTCCAGGTAGAAAAGGAAATCGATGGTCTGCGTAAGAATGAAGTCACCGATAGCTGTTACAAGGAGAGTATTGGCAAAGTTCATAAGAGTGTCGTCAAGTTAGAGAATCGTCTGGATGTGGTCAATAAGAAATGTAGTGATGTCTTGGCAGAGAATTTCAAATTGCGTGACTCAATAAATCATATGCTGCAGGATCGGTACGTTGTAGCGTAGAGGCATGAAAGATCACCAGCTATTCATTTAATGAGGAATAGATATGTTTGATTTTGCTGTCATCTAAAAGTCAGCGATACCTAGGCTTTTTGAGTAACCATACATATCGATCTTCATATAGTGGCAACGAATTGGATTTCGTGTGAAGGAGAGAGAGTTGGGTGTACTAATGTCTCATCCTTGAGGCCTATACCCTCAGTCTTACTCTGTAGGATGATTGGCAGGACGATTGTTCAGGCGCTTGGAAGTGAATATCGATTTTGTGGGCTTCCAAATTTATCGGCAGAGATTTGTTCCCCAGCCATCTCGGTACACTTTTATGGTTTAAGTCCAGGATTTAGCAACGTAATCTGCCTATCTTGAGCACACCAAAATGGCGGAGGGATCGATGCTCCCTGGAAAATAATATTAATGAGAGATTTTAATACTGGAAAATAGGCAACTGAGTTTTTTAACAATTGGCTCAGAATCGAGCTCGAAGAAAATGGAAATTAGGACGGTATAGAAAGTTGCATGGAGACTTGAAAAAAGTTACATGAGTTCTATTATATGAATATGGTAGCGGTCTCGGCAAATATCTGTACATTGTTGGCCCCAAAGAACATTTGTTATTTGTTTGCTCCCCAAGATTTTTCTGTAATTGACGGTGGAAATTGGTTTTCACGAAAGACGTTTCTACTTCCCGAAATATTTTAGGTTTTATCTTAACAAAAGCTGCTGTTACGGCGATTTAACTATGTGTAGATCGTCGACCCTCATCTTTTCTATATTGCATCGGTCTCACAGCTTGTCGATGAATTCTAAGAATTTCGAGGTGTCTATCTATAGTGGACACTCTTAGAGTGTTCTTATATTCCTGTTATCCACAAGAAAAAATTTTGGGTTAAGATAATTTCTTAATTTTCTCTCAACAATATCTTTCATTTTATGTCGTTTTAGTGCAAATTTCAACGAGATGTGGCAGTCAATGGTAACCCAATTCAATGAGGGGAAAAAATATATTATGGAGCTGATAGACCAATCAACTGTAGCCTTTGATTTGCGCGAGGAGCTCTGCAACAAAGTACAAGTGCTCAAAGATCGTAGCGAGAATGATAAAATTATGCATATACAGGTAAAAAATATATATGTACATACATACTATTTTCTGAAGTTTTCTAACTGCAAAGACTTTAAAAGACCACTCAAACACCAAACTTTTGACAACACATTGGGCTAGGTAGGTATGCCACTGGTATTTTCTTTTTTATGTGTTATGTGCAAAATTTTCGATTTCATTAAATCTCTTTCAGACTGCCCGAAATAGAGGCTTTCTGGACGTCTTTTTTATCTGAAACGAAAAAATTGAGAACTACCTATACATTTCGTAGATCAAGTTTCCAACCTTCACAGAGTACCCTTTTCATTTCTTCTTTCCCCTTCTCCCATAGGAAATGCGTGAAATGCAACGCCGCCTCGAACACGATGCCAAGCTTCAGAAATTCTTTGACATAAAAGGTCAAAAGCGTCTTAATCCCGAGTTGGAGCAACGTGAGGCTAACAAGAAACTCGCTTTGAAAGGGAACTACGAAAGGCAGCTCGAGGAATATCACGCTATCATAGATGATATTAAGGAGTTATATGCAGTGGAGGACACAGATAATTTGGCAGCGCAATTCAAGCGACAAGAAGAGGAAAATTTTGCGCTCTTTAACTATGTCAATGAGCTTAGTCACGAAGTGGAGGCATTGAATGATACAACACAGGAGCTGAGTGAAGAAATTGGTAATTATTTATAGATACATATTTTTTTTTTGGTCGATGAAAATGAGTTTCTTTCTTTCCACAGAGCGTCAAAAGGCGGAACACGAAGAAAAGGAGTTGAAACAGAAAACCGAAGCTTTGGATTATCTTAATAGTGAGCTGGAGAAGATTGAAGTAGCAGCCGCAGAGGCTAATGCAAGAAAATTAACGCTACATACGAGTTTGGATGAAATGTTGCAGGGTATATTGGATATATTCAAGTGCGTTGAAATGGTTTTCTTTTTTAATTTTTTTTTTTAATTGCCTTATCTGAAGAGATTTTTGTATCACTAACTATGTATTTTTTACACTTTGATCTTAAATTCCACTTTTAGACTTCTATCCTGCAACGATGCACCCATCTTGAATGTTTTGAGCTCTAAGACTGTATTGACAGTGCATAATGTGAAACTTTTCGTTGGTGTCATTGAGCGTCGCATAAATACCGTTATCAGCAATATAAACGTTGATGAATCTTCTACTAAAATATTGGCTAGAAAAGATCGCGTTCCAAAATTTAATATCAAAGAGTCAGCTAAAGGAAAAAACTAATTTTTTCCCAAAATAGCGCCGGATTTGGGTGTGATAAAGGATTGCTATATTTGTAGAATTTTTCAAATCATATTTTAAACCTCAAAATTTAAAACCTAGTAATCTAAAATCTTAATGTGTATTCTTTCTAATAGTTTTAATAAAAAAAAAAATTAACCAGCTGTGAACCTACTACTATCTAAGGCATCCCTACTGCTCGACAAAAGACAAGGTTCAATAAAATGGATATCTTTTGTGCTTTTACGTTTTTGCGTTTTTCGGTGGTTCTTTGGCAAAATTGTAATGATTTTTTATTTTTTTGCATATATTAGAGTATAGTTTTAAGCACTAGGACCCACCATAAAAATATCAAATTTCTCTAACGTATATGCACTCCATCAATTTTGTTTAATTAACACATTGACTCAATTTTGCACCCATATAACTTATAAGAGACTCGCTGCAACCCGTTTTCCTCCGTTAAAGTGTCGGATTTTGTTATAAATGAGTAAGTTGGTTTTTTGTTATGAAAATACCATGAGATGCGTTTTGGGAAATAAAAATAAAAATATTACTGAAAAAAGCTATGACGAGGCTTTCAAGCCGGGAAATAGCGAAAATATCGCATGTGAGCCAATCGACTGCTAGAGGCACTGCTAACATGCAGATTGCAAAGAAACCGGTGGAAATAAACCGAAAATATCCGAGGTAGAAGGCGTTAATAGCGTCAGACAGAATATCTACCGCTAAAGAAGCTGTGGGGTGCGTTGGTGGAGATGCTAGCGTGTGAACCGTGCGAAGAATGCTTTACAAAGCAGAATTGAAGGCGATGGTGACGAAAAAAAAACAACTGCTGTCGACCAGGGACATTAATCTAAGGTGAGCATCAAAATTTTGGGAAAGAGAAACTAGTGAAAAAAAAATATTTCTTTGACTCACACGTCAACTCTTGATATTTTTTTTTGATATACATCTTAAGGGATCTAGAAACAAGTACCGATTGGCATCCAATGTATGCGGTGCGCGTTATTTTATCTTGTACCTCGCATGCGATCAAAATGGAAAATTTCGTAAAGTATCGAAAGTAACGTTAAAGACTGCATATTCTGGTTTATAGATTTGTTATAAACGAGTATTATGCAAAAGTGTTTTATAGTTGCCTTGGAACTTGCTCTTTATTAAAATACTTTAGTTTAATTTTTAACTCCACAGGATTCGGCAAGTTTTCCTTACCGTGATGTTATATATAACTGACTTCCAAGAAATGTAACGTTAAAGACCACCTTAAACCACATTTATCTTTAAACCAACAAAAAATAGGAAACAAGTAACATTTCAGAAATATAATCAAAAATACACGTGCAACTGTTACGTTAAAGAGAAAAATCTTGACCATATGTATCTATATGTATGTACGTATGTATGTGAATACGTTTTTTTCTATATAAAAATAAATATAGCAGTAATTATTCAGGTTTCAGATTATGATTAATCAGTTTTCTGATTAATAAAATTATTTAGATTCTGATTAACTAAAATGTAACTAATCGAGAAATTAATAGCTTTGATTAGTCTAAAATTATTATTTTTAAATTAATTAATTAATCAGGTTTCGATTGATCAACTTGTTCGATTTATTGATTAATCACACATCTCTAAAATATATCATTCATATCTGGCATCGAGTAGTTAGCTCGGGTAACTTTTTTCGGTGAACGTTTGCCTGCTGTTTTCAAAGTTATATGAATCAGATTTTATGATTAACTCGCAAACACCCGGCCTATTTCACTGCGCCTTAAAAGTAATTATGTGTTGTAACTCCCTCCACAAACTTGTATGTATTCATTCAAACAAAAAAAGGAGCTTTATGAAGAAAGATTTAAAAAAAAAAATAATAGATTTATGAAGCATTCTTTACTTTTTATGAAAGTGGGCGGTGGTTAATATAATTCCGAAGGTATTTAGTAAGTAGGTAAAGTACCGACTTTTTCCTGAAAACTTAATTTAAAATTTTATAACTCGAGTCTACATATCGCGCATTTTCTTCAAAGGTGTATTAATTCAATATTTACCTTATTCTATCAATTAAACTGAATTAAATTATTTTCAAATTCAAATAAGTGGCAATCCGCTTCTAAAATAATTCCGACAGTAAACTTTCTAAAATCTCTTTAGTTTGATACCTGTATTTTAATATTTCATTTATTTTATCAATTTAATTGAGCACAAATTTTCAAACAGAAGACATCTCTCGTTAAATCTACCACCATAACCATTGCGGCCCTTGCTTTACGGCGACTAAACAGAATAAAGACAATTCTTGATGAATGCCTGCAAATACGATTGTAAGACATTTATGTTATTTCGTCTGAAATAAGTCTATGTAAATTGGATTTATATGGACCAATGATACTCGTCCGTTTTGAAATTGCCACCAACTATACTATACAGATTCAATGACGAATCCCCCTCGAACCGGATCATTGTTGCCGCAAGAGCTTCTTCACGGACATAACGCTTTCATTAGGTTATGTGCGATATGTATAGATATTTTATGATAGAAAAATCTTGACTCTTTTGCCAAAAACATCGAAGTCCACTCACTTTTGTTTTGAAGTTTTGAATGATACACACAATGAATGATAAAACATTTGTAGGTACCCACAGAAAAAAATATCAATTACTAAAAAATAACCTACTTGTAGTCAGTTTTTTTGTTGGACTTCTATAAGATATATATAACTTGTAGTTAGCTACAAAAAGCTAACTTGAAACAAGTGGACAAGTAATACAGGAGTAAAGCTCGAGATTGTTTTCTTTAAACGCGTTTCTATTTAAATATCCTGCACTTTGCAAATACTTTTTCGAATTGAGAACAAATAAGAGGAAGATCGAAATTTCATATTATCATTTTGAAGTTATGTATGACGGAGTTCGAATATGCGACCACCTACAGCAGAATATGTAAACAAATATGAAATGTGAATAAATAATTAAAGTAAATAAAAACAAAAATATTTTGTTTTTCCTATTGACATTTTATGCCCAAAAGTAGTTAGTTACTTCAACTGCAGAGGTAGCCACCCTTGACTATTTCGCGGCCATCGCCATAGAAATATAGTTAGCTTTCGTCAAAGAAGATATACACATAATAAGTGACTTATAGCTCCTTCCTAATCAACTTAAAGTTAGCTTATAGTTAGATACATTTCCTGCAGGGTACATACTATGTACGTACGTTTGCATGTATGTATGTACATACATATATATTTAGCACAATGCGAAGCTGGCAAAGAACCTGTTATTATTTTAAGTGCCTACAACTACAAACGCACATTAGAATACAAAAATTAATTTCACGAAATTGCAATTTAACATTACTGTAAGCAATTTGACTCGGCTTCGAGATACATGACAGTGTGATAAGCGCGATGCTAAATTTGTATTGCGGTCGATGGCGTATGAGTAACCTTGGTTGCTACACCTGCAAATCCGAGATGACTCCGGAAGCAATTAAAAAAATGCCCAAATGGGTATAAAAAGTCGCCAGAAGTTGCTTCAGGTGCGATTCAAACAGTGGTTCTCAGAGCCTGAATCGTGGCATTCGATGTTGATATCACGGCATTCGATAGCGAGTGCGATTCGTCGATTTAAATTGTGTGGGGGAGAAAACAGCTGTCATTTTATTCGATTCGATTCGAAACGAGTAATCATTCGATCACGAATGCCGCGATTCGGGCCCAGGTTTGCTAAGCGACATGAATTTTGGTTGACTAAGTGCATTCATATCATTAAATCGTTAATTGTACCCGTTAGGGATGATCCGGAAATTAATTGATCTCCAATTATAGCCGTAAGCGATAAGTCGAGACTAATTGATCTCTAGTAATACCCGTACGAGACTAGTTGCGACTAATTAATTAATGCCCTATTGTGACAGATTGAGAGTAATCCCGGAATAGTCTCTTTAGAGATGAATCGTAAAATTTTTTGCAAGGTATGTACAAGCCGACATATGTAACTCCACTAATTCACAAACAAATATATACTTATGTACGTATTTATGTTTAATAAGCATGCGCGTCCACTCTTCTGACTTACCATGCATTGTACATTTTCGGGGAAATCACATTTAGCTGTATATATATTGAAGTGTAAATTGTCGGTACAACGCATTTCAATCGGGTGCCCGTGATAGCAAAGAAAATAGTCTGTGCACGATTGGGCATTCGTCAGAAGAACAAGCTGTTCAGGATCATCGCTCGCTGGACATTGATCTCTCACTACTGGTAGAATGGCGTGCGGTTCCAGCGTATTTATGCTCTCGGAACTGGTGGTGGTGGTGGTGGTGATAGTGGTAGTTGGTATGGTAGTTGCTTGTGGCAGCCTCGTAGTTGTTGTAGTTTTCGGAGTAGATGTGGCTGGCGGTACGGGCTCATCTGGATCTTCGGATACCGCTGGCTGCTCTGGATCTTCTGGAACATCCAGCGCACAATATACATTTTCTGCATCATCACACGATTCGCCATCGAAGTATTGACCTTCATCACAATCGCCAGAGTAGGAATTGTCACCGTCGCAATATATGTAAGTTTGGCAGCTTTGTGTGCTTTTTACGAATGTTCCTTCTTCCGCATTATCACATTCTTCGAAGGTGTCAGCGAATGTTGCATGGAATGAGAGTAGTTTAGATATTAAAATGATGATCAATAAGGCTTTATAACCCATGGTTATTCTTTGTTTTTTTTTTTTTTATTTTTAGATATGTATACGCGGCTTTTTAAATTTTTAATACTGTAT